GTGCAGGTTTTTTTATTGGCAGCTAACTTCAAACACAGTGATAGGATCAACACATGAACAAGGATTTTTTAGCCAGGTTTAATGTGAATGCAGACCTTAGAAATCACAGGTACTCACCATTTTGCAGCGTCTTCTATTGTCTTTTGTCCAGTAGCAACCAAAGCTTTTTGCCTAGAAAAAAACACAGAGTTGATCCCTCAGAATAACAGCAAGAAAACTAGAGAGTAAAAGCATTTAGTGACTGTGGTCACCAAGGCTATTTTCCAGCACAGATAGAACCTTTAACCTCCCCACAGGATACCTTCGGTGTGTTCTAGAGGTGTTTTCTCACAGACTAGATGGATTTCCTTAGGGTTAGGTAAACCATCCATCCATGCACTGTATGAGCAGAGTTTTTTTGGTTCATAGGAAAAACGTTCTGATTCAAGATTCACATTTCCTTTTCTCACCAGAGCTTTCAAATTGTCAGCTATGTGCTTCATGTGAACCAGTCTTTGTGGTTAAATGCTAGGTGATAGGTGAAGGATTCCAGTGTTTAAGTAGCACCTGCACCCATGAACCACATTTCCAGGCCTGTAACCTACCTACAAACTTCTCAGAAGAGACATGAAGGGAAACTAGAGACAGTGGACATGGGAAAAAACTACTCAATTGCTTGACATCTGCTCATCTCTTTCCTTCTCTCTTGAGGCCATCCTTTCTGGCCACTGAGGACATTGAATCATTTAGTCTCCTCACATTTTTTCCTTCATCCATCCCCATGGCACCCAAGCATAAATCAGCAGTGCAATGGGTGCATTAAGCAGCAGGACTCGGGTTCAACTTTGATGCTTCCTCCTGGTCTTCTATCTTCTCTTTGGAGTGAAAACTACACATGGGTTTGTTAAAAACATTGATGTTCAACCATGCCTGGCTCTTTAGTGAGGGCTTAGCATGGATAAGGGCTAATGTTAGTTTTTCCACTCAAACCTTCTACCTTTCTTCTCTATAAAGTGAATCAATGGCCCGATCAATGCACCGCTATGAGGTAGCTGGTCTAAACTAGCCTGTGTCCTCTGTGACTGAATACTGGATATTTTCTTTCTGTGTCTCTGCTGACTCTTCCTTCTCCATCACATCAAACAGGAACACCCCATGTTTTTGTTGTGCTCCTCATGCCCTTCCCACTGTATCCTGTAGAAGTGTCAGTGCCTGCCACCACTTGGCTGATGATGTCAGGTTTTCTTAACCACTCATTGCACCTCAAAGTGAGTGTTTTACCACTCTATGCCATGCTGCTCCTCCCACTAGGAGACAGGCTCTGTGCAAACAGCCCTGAAGACAAATGGAGCTTGGTTTTAGCTTTTTTTATCATGGAGTCTTCAAAATCATAAATGTAATAAGACAAGTAATGGTGAATGTAACAAGACAAGAAACCTGAGGCCATGGACTGTTGTGCTGCTCAGTGCTATCTTCTTGCTCTCTTGTGCTTCTCTCTGTGCCTGTTCTCACCTTTTGTCTCATCATATATGTTGGCTGTAGGATGATTTCCAGCAGGGTTTTTAGAGCCTTTAGCACCAGGAGTGCATTAGGCTGTGACTGGGCATCCTACGCTGCCAAGAAGAGCAGTGAAGTCTGAAAGATAATGTGTAGAATAAATTCTGTATATATGAGTTTCTCTCAGACAGAGAGTAGGAATAAACTATTGAAAATAGATCAAAAATAAATTTACAGCAAGAATAAACTGGCTCTTCCCTAAACCAGAAAACCCTGACATGGTTCTATCCTGTGTAAGCACCAGGGAAGGCCAAATTTGTTGATCTTACGCTTGATTTGATCCTCACATATTTGAGGTTTTTTCTTCGGGGAAATGTTGCTTTGGCCTGTTGGTTCTGTCCTGGGAAGCTCAAAGTCATCTCAGTAATAGCTCAAAGTGTTTCAAAGGGGATTTGTAAAATATCACACACAGGACAAAAAATTCAAGAACCAACCATTGCTGTGGGATGACCAAACTTCTAGCATTACTAGAGAAATGATGAGCCAGGTTTTCAGCCCACAGCTAAAATTCCACTGTGCATAACCTGGAACAAGGGACCCACAGTTTCATTGTAAGCTGTGCCCATCGTGTCTGATGTTGATTGCTAACACAGCTGTTCCTAAAAGAGCAACACAGAACTTACAAATGGAGCCTTCTCAACTTGCTTCATTTAAACAAATATTTAAATAATATTTGTTTTTTGAACAGTTTGAACCAAAATGTCCATTCTTGCCCTTTAGAAGTTGGAAAATCTTCCCCAAAACTTGCCTGCCCAACCAGAGAGATGTTTGGGGGAGGAGTGACCACCACATTTCTCTTTTATTATCTTGGTTACCTGACACCAGTTAATGTCTTATCCATGGGACTTGCCAAGAATAGACCCTCGTTTTTACTATTGCATTTTCCATGGTACGACATGGTTTTGGAACAAGATCCCTATTCACAGAATCATAGAATCATAGAATTTAAGGGTTGGATTGGACCTTTTACATCATCTAGTCTCAACCCCCTGCCATGGGCAGGGACACCTCCTGCTAGATCAGGTTGCTCAAGGCAAGAAAAATTGACAGACTTATGTGGCATCTTGTGAAGGAAAGTTTAATGTTTTAAAACTGTTTCCATCATCAGAGATCCAAATGACAT